CAAATAAATGATATTCAGAAAGATCAAAAGGACAATGCCAAAAAGGAAGGTTGGCCAAGTGGTCTAAGCTGTACCAGGATCTGCTGGCATGAGTTCAACTCCAGATTAATCCTGGTTATGATCCAGGGTACACATTCATGCTAAATGGCTACTCCATTGTCACTGTGGCTTTCTTTCTTCACTTCGGAGTACTGGGGTAGTCTAGTGGTTAAGGCATTCGCTTGTCATGCCAAAGACCTGAGTTTGATTTCCCATGTGGGCACAATGTGTGAAGCCCATTTAGGGTGTCCCCCGCCCTGATATTTGCAGGAATGTTGCTAAAAGTGGAGTAAAACTAAACTCACTCTTCATTACACTGGTGCCGGGTGATGTCACTGAACACTGTTTACCCTATTCACTTATCAATGCTAAGATGAGACTGTTGCATTTGTTCTGGATTTTCAAAGAAGGCTTTGATTCCAGCACCAAGGAAGCACAGGTGGCCCAGTAGTCTCATGGGGAGATATTTGCAGTGTAGGGTTATGTCCCTTGGACATATCATAAACCTATGCCTGTGGGTTTGAATCCCAGAACAAGTATGTTTGTCGTTTCTAGCTGTTAGCGCCCTTTACCCATGCTTGTTGGTTTCATGAAATGGTAACTGTCTCAGATTAGCAGCACATCACCATGGTATTACTGGAATACTGATTGAAGTGGCATTAAACCCAGCTAACTCACTCACACAGTCAGGTACCCTGCTTGATGAAGATATAAGAACCTGTTGTGTTTCAATAAGTGGTGTGTACTTTGTCATCCGTATACTTCAAAGGAATTCTTTTCTGACAAAACTCAATTTTTCAATTTGTTTTCTATCACATCCAACCTCAGTAATTGATATTTAATCTGATGAAATGTGAACATTTACACAAATATTTGAGTGCCATGTTTCTTGGTGTACTTTTGTCAAGACAGTCTGAGGAATATCATTATGTATTTTGATAAGAACTTTATAATTGATCTTATGAAAAGTGTCAGTTGTTATGTTGTCCTTCATAAGTCCTTCAACATGAATTAAAAAGCAAATGGTATTGATTTTTTATGAAGTGTGATGGTTCAGTACCTTTACCCAGATCCAGGTGCAAAATATTGATGTTCAAAGAACAATATCAGAATAACTTGATGTTGGTTTGTTTTTCAAAGGTGAACTCCAGTACCTGCTATAGTTAGTAATGTGTGGTTGCTGCCATTTATTTGGTTTAGATCTGGTTGGTTTCTCAACACTGTATAAAAGCTGTCGCTTTCACTATTGTATGTTAGTCAATATAATGGCTGCTGTGCTTTCTTTTAAGTTGATATTATCATTATGTGTATTATATGTAACTGTTTGTCCATATCAGAATGTTCAACCCATTGTAGAGAGTATTGTTTGGCACTGTATATTCTCCCCAAGCTCTGTAAAAATAGTTTGGTTGGTCTATATTTTTGTCATGGTTATTTTGTACTGTTATTGTTTCTATTTGACAAATATATTTAATCAAATAAATTATTTCATGATAATTCTTTGGTTTCCATACTGTTTTGATCATCATAATTGTAATATATGAGACTAGGTTTGTGCTCCTCCTCAAGGAAGACTGGAGCAAAATATACCCTAGCACCTTATTCTACAATGTGTTTTAGCTAGCTACAGGTGTGAAGACCGCCTCCGTGGTGTAGTGGTTAGAGCGTCCGCCCGGAGAGCGGAAGGTTGCGGGTTCGATCCCCGACCACGTCATACCAAAAGACGTTAAAATATGGTACTTGTTGGTCCCTGCCTGGCGCTCGGCATTAATGGGTACAACAAGGACTGGTCGGCTCGGAGTCAGTATAATGTGTCTGAGTGGGGTATTCATGCTTCACTGTGGCATGGTATCTCAGTGGGCTAGCACTATAAAACCAGCTTCAGTCTGGGCTAGTACAAGCAGACGCACATACACATACACGCGCATGCACGTCGTCATATGAGCGAAATATTCTCAAGTACGACGTTAAACCCAATTTCACCTCACCTCACCTCACCTCACCTCACCTCACCTCACCTCACCTCACAGGTGTGAACTAGCTAATGATGTCACAACATACCCTTATGAAGGACCATTCGTAATTTGGGTGGGGTGTTGTGTGTCACCCATATTGTTCTGGGGAGGTAGGGAGGGTCAGCAATTTGGTACATTACGATATTGAAAATTTATGCTTAAATATTATGGAAAGGGGGTAATTGATTTTGTACATGATATGCAGTGTCGTATCTTACTTTGTGCGTAATTTTTTTATGGGGTGTGTGGGGTGTGTGTGTCCTTCACATTGTACATGCTCCTGCATAAAAATCATCATCACATCCCTTGCTATAAAACCAGTTTGGTCGAACCGGTTGCATAAAGTCTGATCACATAACACTGGTGAAGCAATATCCAATCACTATTCGTGATCTACCCGTGAAGATCAAATTTAGAAATGGTGTACAGCAAACCGTGTTTGTCCTACGAGGCGACTAATGGGCTCGATGGTAAAGCTGACATGCTCGATGTATGTCATCGTATTCCATCGAAGTGGAGTAATGTCCATGATGAATATCAATGGAATATCTGATGCAGCCTCAATATGTACAGACTAGGGTCATATATTTTTTGAATATTGCTGAGTGCAGCTTTGAACAATAAATCTAATACTGGTTGCCCATACGGTCTAGCCAAGCATGAACCCACGCTTGTCGCAAGAGGCGACTAACAGGATCGAGTGCACGTGGTCAGGCTCGCTGACATTGTTGACACGGGTCATCGGTTCCCAGTTGCGTAGATCGATGCTCATGCTGTTGATCACTGGATTGTCTGTTCCAGTGAGTTAGTGAGTGACTTTAGTTTTACGCCGCATTTAGCAATATTCCATCAATATCACGGCGGAGGACACCAGAAATGTCTGTTCCAGACTCGACAGATGTATAGATGTGTCCTGCCACGACTACCAACACTCCCCCAAATCATAACGCCTTCACCTACCAGCGGTTCAGCTGCTGAACTCAACATCCAGCATACGTTCTTCACATCGACGCCGGACTCGGAGACTTCCATCCGCATGACTGAGATTGAGTCTGGACTCGTCAGTCTTAATCGCCGTCGTACCGTCTGGGGACTGATGACACCCCTTCGTCCACGAATGGGGAGTGTTTGTTCTGGACGCTGGTTTGAACCTGTTCCTTTAAAGAGTGAGGACGATGTGACGATCTCGGGCCTGGGTCGTGACAGATGTTGCCCTGCATGTGGTCGATCGTGTTGTGCCAGTTTGTCGTAGGTGCTGTGATAACATGGCTGTTTTTGAATTGTGACAGTTAAGCCTCCTGGCCACTTGACCTGTAGACAAACCAGTCTCAAGAAACCAAACAGCTCTTTCTTCTCAACAGCTGATAAACGTGGCATTATGTAAAGTCAACGATTTAGTGCTGTTCAGAATTTCGGTGTGATTTTGGTGCACAGTTGAAGGATCGGTAAATGTATTGTGGAACCGCCACGTTTTATGCATTTTCAGAGGCTATTTCAAACGATAATTGTCAGCCAATGGTGGGTCACGTGATCACTCAGGGATGCACGTCCATCACCTTTATCTGCCATAGTCAGATTACTTCCAGCACAGTTTGGGTTCAACATTCGTTTTGCATATTCCATGATCAACGATAATAGAGTGATGCATTTCTAAATAAATTCAGTATACAATTTGTTTTTGACTTGGGTCTGACCATAGCTGATAGCCCATTGTCGAACCCCCGAGTAGGCACTATTCGCCTCTCTTTTGCTAGTCGTGCGAGTCATTGTCGGGATTGTTTTGAACTCCTCTATGTGATTGTCTGAAACACGTCAAAGGACAGACTCCAAACTGTGATTATGACAATCAATTACCCTGGTCTAGAAAGCCAACCAAGGGCCATCCATATGACTCCGTATACCCATCCATCTCCAGTAGTACGGTATTTACATGAGTGAATGAGTGAGTTTTACGCCGATTTTAGCAATATTCCAGCTATATGACGGCGGGGGACACCAGAAATAGGCTTCACACATTGTACCCATGTGGGAAATCGAACACGGGTCTTCGGTGTGACGAGCGAACGCTTTAACCACTAGGCTACCCTACCGCCCTGGTATTTACATGAACCGGACAAAGAGCACAAGGCAGATGTTAACGGATTCAAGAGTATCGTCGTCTATGCTCAGAGCAGCAATACTGTTGATATATTAGTGTCGTCAGATTATATTCCGGCATGTGGTTGTCATGACACCCTGAGGCCCCTGGTTCTAAGTATGTCCTGCCCCGTCCCAAAAATAATTGTAAAACGGGCTCGAACCTGGAACTTTTGTAAAAATTACGACGCTAGTTTGATCATAAACAGTTCTCAATACGTCTATCGCGTCTTTAACACGTCCCCAGACAGTTGGTATTACGTTTGGCCTCATTGTGTTGTTCTCGTTATACTGTTTAGCAGACTGACCCATGTTGATCATCTACAAGGACCCGTTGAGATCCCGGTAGGAATACAGCTGCCAAGAAACATCCGTACGTTTGCTTCGGTGGTTAGGCTCTCCTCTTGGTTGATTTCGCGGCATCGTATAGTGGAGATCGATACTTATGGAGACAATCACTGAACTGTTTGATCGATACTCGATATAACAAACCGTCGTCAAACTGCTGGAATGTAGCTGAAGACAACGATGAACAAGAATTTTCTGAATATGCCAGTTCTTAGTATGCGAAAATTTAAGAGAGGGAACTCCCTGTATCCGTTTATACTTTGCAGAGAACATTGATTGGCTGTGTGTGTAAGAGCAAAGTGTTTGACTCACGGCAAGGGGACATAACTGTCATATCCGGTGAAAAAACTGGACATTTATAGCCGGTTATCTCCCCTGAATCGGAACATGGACACCGCCCTGATCAACTGGGTTCTACTTTTCAGGATTCTGTGCATCATAAAAACAACCGAACACAGAGAATGTGCTAAATCAACCATCAAGTTTATTCAACTGAAGTCTTTTCAGCGTTTAGGGCATCTATGAGGACATCACTCAATAAATTAGATATGACTCTTGAAACCTTGTCTGGGTGAACGAGTTTCCCTGGCTGTGACGTAGCGTTGATAATACCAACCATTCATGCAACGCTGTGAAATTGTTTCGATATTCCAGCTGACAGTCTGGTGTTGGGGGCCATGGATCATACTGCGGTTCAGAGGGGCTTTCCCAGCGAGCAGGTCACGGCCAGGGATCCCGTTTCCCCGTGTTTGGTCAAGGAGGACACGCAGAAATCACAATAAATACACAAAATTCCAATGTACAGATTGATAACCAAATTTAATCCCTTAGTGAAGTGTTCTATTAACTAGTATTGATCACAGAGTCGGCACAAAGCTAAGGGTAAATTATTCAAGTTGAACCAGGAAGACAAACTGAAATCCTTTACAAGTGAGTATTCCGTCAAGGAACATTTCATGTGCCCATGGAAACGTATTGCACATGATATTGTCGCGAAAAGAAAGGCATTGACGTACAGCTTTTTACAAAGTCTAGGGCGAAAATTGAATATATACATGATGCAGTTTTTTGGTCTTTCAATTGTATCTGATGTTTCGGAGTCTGCACTAGAAAGGTTTGACTTGCATCCACAGATAGGCGAAGAGGCAAAGCAGGGCTCGCTACTGCGGCTTTTATACTGTAAAAAGAGAAAAAGTTGTTTTTTAAAAAAACTGAAGCATATATAGCAATAAATTGATAAAATGTATATTCATATTCACCGGGACATATTAATGCGAAACCTACATCAGCAATAATCAAATACTAAATCCCTGCACAATGAATTGTGGAATTAGGCTAAATATTTAATTTTAGAGGGTCAAACCTGGATCTTCTCAGTGACAGGGAAACACACTACCCCGTTGCCTACCCTGAGACCCGATAGAAGAGAGCGCAAGGATTTTATTCATGTCGGTGAAGAGTTGGAGGAAATCACAAATTCACCCTGTTAGTAGAATTTACCTTGATGGAGAAATCTACGGTAAGGCAATGCAAAACCAGTGATCATAAAAGGGGCAAATGTGGGATTCGAACCCACGACCAGCAGACCTTGATGGCAGATGCCTGGACCGTATTACAGGAGTTTCACTTGGCTTACACGATACAGTGATTTTTGTTCTGTTTCAATGTGGGTAATACCCCGGTAGGCAATATTTCGTTTGTTTCTTTCTTTGTTGTTTAACAGCGTACTCAGGAATATTGTAACTGTGTGGTCTGTCAGTAAACGGGTCTGTGTCAGACAATCCAGTGATTAACATCACGAGCATCATCAACACAGTTGGCTTATAATGACAGCACGAACCAAGTCAGCGAGTCTGACCACCCATCCCCTTAGTCGCCTTTTACGACAAGCATTGGTTACTGAAGACCAATTCTAACCCGAATCTTCACTAGTCATATTGGGTATGTACTTACCAGTACCCTAGACCTGAGGATATTCGCAGACAGGGGTGTCTATTCATCACCCTCCTCTTCTGCTTCCCCTGTCTGAACGTGCTGGATCTCCGGCGGTGGGGGTTCGATCGCCAAATCCTCGAACAGCTTGGCTCTCTCGTTGTATGTTCTGTGGTCGGTATGGCGCTCGTATTTACTGCACAGTTGGATTTTGGGCTGTTAAAAGAAAGGCGAGTTGAAGCACACATTTTACCATTTTTCAAACATTGGTGGGCGAATTTATGACACGTTTTATGGATAACAACTTCTTTTTTATTCTTTATACGACGTTTCGGAGCTAATTCTTGCTCCTTCATCCACCTTAAGGGGGCCTGAAGAAGGAGCAAGAATTAGCTCTGAAACGTCGTATAAAGAATAAAAAAGAAGTTGTTATCCATAAAACGTTTCAGAGCTAATTCTTGCTCCTTCTTCAGGCCCCCTTAAGGTGGATGAAGGAACAAGAATTAGCTCTGATGTTCGTCCAACTTCTAAATGCCTTTCAAAAACTTCATTGGTGGGCGAGGCGATATTTGTATTTTAAATTTAAAGCAAACGTGTCTTTCTGTGTTTGTGAAAGTTCACGCAATCAGCAACATTTCACTTGTCCCATATCAAGTCAGGAACAACTAAACCAGGGGTTGGTTAAGCTAAAAAACATTCCCGCTGGGTACAATGAAGCACAATCACGAAGGTCATGTTCCGTAATCTCCAGTCATATATTGAGTCCGCTTTCAACATATGCAATGGTACTGGAGACTTAGTTCGTTCTGGAATCCTTTCATTGAGAAACGTATGGCATAGTCTATCCAGGAATCCCAACAGTGACACAAGTATGGGGTACTATGGTTGGCCCTCTTGCACAAAGTGATCTTAGCGCTACGATTCCCAACAGTGACACACGTATGGGGTATTAGGGTTGGCCCTCTTGCACAAAGTGATCTCAGCGCTAGATTCCCAACAGTGACACACGTATGGGGTACTAGGGTTGGCCCTCTTGCACAAAGTGATCTTAGCGCTATGATTCCCAACAGTGACACACGTATGGGGTATTAGGGTTGGCCCTCTTGCACAAAGTGATCTCAGCGCTAGATTCCCAACAGTGACACACGTATGGGGTACTAGGGTTGGCCCTCTTGCACAAAGTGATCTTAGCGCTATGATTCCCAACAGTGACACACGTATGGGGTACTAGGGTTGGCCCTCTTGCACAAAGTGTTCTTAGCGCTACGATTCCCATACTCTAACATAGACTTAAGACAGTCTTAACCCTGGGATACCTTCGCGCAACGGAGCCCTGGTTGTCTCAGAGGTGAGGTGAAATTGGGTTTATTTCGCTCATATGACGATGTGCATGCGTGTGTATGTGTATGTGCGGCTGCTTGTACTAGCCCAGACTTAAGCTGGTTTTATAGAGCTAGCTCACTGAGATACCATACCGCAGTGAAGCATGAATACCCCACTCAGACACATTATACTGACTCCGAGCCGACCAGTCCTTGTTGTACCCATTAATGCCGAGCGTCAGACAGGGACCAACAAGTACCATATTTTAACGTCTTTTGGTATGACGCGGTCGGGTATCGAACCCGCGACATTCCGCTCTCTGGGCGGACGCTCTAACCACTACACCACGGAGGCGGTCTGGTTGTCTCAGAAGTCCCTAAGGGAGCAACAATGTTGTATTGAGGTATGTACTTACTGGTGCACTGGTGAATTTGTCAGCAAGACGATCAAACCTGTAAAAAGAAACAAACAACTTCATAAAACAGTAAGTTGTGTTTGTCTGTTTGTTTAACGCCGCACTCAGCAATCTTCCAGCTATTTGACAGCAGTCTGTCTGGACAAGACAATCCAGTGATTGAGGACAATAAGTCAGTGAGGTAAATGCTTCAATGTAGGTAGCTTCAGACAAACGATAGCGTGAGAGAAAATGCGGTTACACCGGAAGGTGATATGTCCCACTATATAGTCGGATTCAAACCGACCGTAAAAGGATCCTAACACGGCCAAGGGAGGGAACAAACACAAATTTCGACTGATAAGAATTCACCAATAAATGTCAAGAGCTACTTTTCCGGAGAGAACATAATGAAATCTTATAAAGAGCGTTTGTAGTTGATTGAATACAAACTATAACACTTGTCAGTGGCGTTTCAAGTGTCCCATATTTGGTACATGTATGTGGTTGTCTTTGACGTGGGGTATCAACAACGGATGTAATGAAAAATTAACTTACGATTCGTCAACCTGTACTGAGGACACTCCTCGTTTGCCTTTCCTGAAAAATACAAACAGTCAAGTTAAAATATGTCTATCCATAAAATAACGCCACGGACCCGTTGTGGTTTAACGGGCTAATTCATCAACATTATCCAATGATTTCCCCCAAAAATGACACCAACGAATATTGACTCCAACTAACTGTGACACCCCAGTGACAAGTCATGGATAGCGTTAAGTATAAACGGTGTAATCACACCATGTTAAAGTTCACTACAAAGCCTATGAGTGCGTTGAACCTACAATAGTTCAGCCAGACATGGAAACCCACAGTGGTGGGTAACTTTCACCAGCTTTATGCTACAACCAAACTTAAAACGACAAGACGGGGAGACAATTAAAAGAGACGACAAAAACCGTTCCACTTTCGAAAGAAATCTCTGCTACAAGCAGAGTTTATTGTACTATTGTGTTTGTTTGACGCCGCCTTCAGCAGGATTACAGATGTACGACGCGGTCTTCAAACAATCGAGTCTGGACCAGACAATCCAGCATTGACCCTTTGACATATAATGACTGGGTATGTGTTTATGAATCACTGTCAAACAGTAATAACACCAGGTGTTCGCGAAACGGTGAGCGTATCCTGCCCGGCCTCAACATATGCAAAGGGTGGTCAACTGTTCACCTTACACAATTCGAAAACGTATGGTTCAAGTCAAAATAAAGAATAAATAAGTCACGTTTTTCAATTCCAAACCTCTTGCGGAACCGGATTGCACAACTTACCCTTTGTTCATTTGTCTGGCTCTCTCGGCCAACTCGATCATCTGTGAAGTAAATAAATAATATGATTGTATCATAATATTTTTATGATTGATGCATTCAGCATTAAAGTTAAATGTTGTAATAAACAGAATTGTTCTTTCTTCTGATTTCAAATATATCGCCAAACCACAGAGGCTTGTCCATGTGTCTTTAACTTTCATTGACGGGTATTATTTAATGCTGCTGAAAGACTGTAATAATCATCCACTTCTCCAATGTTTTCAACTTGTGAACAGTTATAGACACAGTGTCCTGTGTTTGGAAGTACTGTTAATTAGCGTCAGTGGAAGTGAGATTAGTGATTTCAAGGAAACCGAGGGCGTCACAATGGTATAAAAATCTTGTTATCTCCCTTTACGAAAGCCTGCGTGCGCAACTACCAAGATGGCGAACGTGTGCACACCCTCATCATCTGTTACTGAAAACGTGTCTTGGAGAACACTCACGTCGTACTGTTGTCTCTTGAATCTCTGTTCAAGATCGTACTTGTCCCCTTCCAGGCGACGGATAGTTTCCACGAGATCCTTGGCGCGCGTAAGGAGCTTGTCACTGGTGAATCCTTCGACTGCAAGAGGGGTGATTCTCTGGGCCAAGATGGCGCGTTTTTCTTCCTCTAACTGTTCCTTGGATTTCTGCATGTCATCTGCGTTCAAGGGCTCAAGCTGGAAGCAACAGTATAAGGCTGTCTCATTTGACGTTCAATACTCTTGCATACATCTGTTGCGTTGTTGAAAAAGTGAATTTCTATACATAAAAACTTGATCCAACTTACAAACTGTAGTATTTGCTTCAGCTAGTCATATATTTCTCAGAAAGTTTCATAAATGTTATTGAAAATTGATTATCATTATGGTATCGTGCCTACTACGTGCTCTTGTTAATCATAATTGAGACAAATTTAAGCAATTAACTTTCATTAAATCATTTCTGAATGTGTTTCCACTAAACGATAAACTGTCAACTTCCTGTATTAGATCGCGTTAATTATGAGACACATGTTTCTGGGTGGCAATATATATTTTAATAAATAACAAAGATATCACCCGTTACATGTTTTTTTCTATTAGCACGTACTTTACTACTTAAAATTGTTATTCTATCAGGTATTAGTTTTGAAACAACCCAGTTTGCAGTGTTGGTACTAACACATAAAGCGCACTAGAACTATCACTGTAGAAACTTGGAACTATTCATACTAGCATTAATATTTGTATTCACAAATTGAACAGGTATAAACTGACACTTTACCACCACAAGGAAACAATGGTGTGTGACGTCATTGACTATAATGTACGGCTGAACAAACTTGCGATACCAGGCATAAATTACGTTGGTTTTGGGGAGTTTTATATATATTATATTATCTTCCGAACGTTCGTTGAGCAAAAACAGCATTGCTGGAAACGCACGTAAAATCTCCAACATGCTCTTTCCATGGGCGGTCCCATGCATTTACTATGATTCGGTTGATCGTAAACCTTGGTATCACAGTTTTGAATTACCGACAATATACTGCAAAATTGTATAATCTGTGACAAATGGTTCTAATAAAATCCACCGTTAGTGTTTACAGTCGAATCAAACTTCTTATAGTGAACAAGATGTGTCACAGCTTACGCGGATTTTGCAATAACAAACGAACACGTTTAACCCAGTTAGAACAGATATTTGCTACCACAAACTGTATGTGAGTGGACAGTGACTGATGGACAATGGTCACTCATGACACCACAGTGCACACCTGTAATAAAATACAATGTACAAACAAAAGGACATCACTCCACACCAACTGGCCCTGCATCCGCAACCTTGATACCTTTGTCAACTATAGGACATCGTCGCTGGAACTTGGATTGCCACTTACATAGCTTTGGATGAGTGGGGATAGTGTTACGCCGCTTTTAGCAATATTCCAGCAATATCGCGGCGGAGGGCACCAGAAATGGGCTTGACATATTTTACTCATATGAGGAATCGAACCCGGGTCTTCGGCGTGACGAGGGAACGCTTCAACCACTGGGGTACTCCACCGCTCCCAGCTTTTGATGAGAGTCAGTTAAGTGAAAGGGCGTTATATAGACGGAATCCACTTCACGGTGTCCTGCAATGTGACTGAGTTTGAACCCAGCAAACCAGTGGTTGATAGTGCGAACAACCATGAACCTCTTCATCATAATAAAGTGACACCCAGACTGGTCGTGACTGAAAGTTGATCCTGCTTGTTTTGGCAACAAAATGTAATGCTAGCTATACTCAGCAGCCATTTTGATCAACCGATCCCAATATTCGTCGCCCTTTACGATATTAATGACTATCTACTTCAATTGCTTACATTAAAGAATCCTGTTTACGATTCACTTTCTCACTCTCTGCGTAGCAATTGTACATCAAATGACTATGCATTATAATCTTGTGACACATGTTTCATGTGTGAAAACGTTAATAAATGAGAAAAAAATAAATCAAACTTATTTTCAATAAATGATGTGAATGAATAATTCAGATCCGTTTCTGTCATGCTCAAAATTTTTGGGTCGGCTACATTACGTTCACTTTACACCAAACATAGATGACACATGGATAAAACATAAATGGTTAATAATAATTATGTCAAATTCAGTTTACCTGTGCAGCAAAAGTACCATACACTCGGTGAGGATAGGTTCCTTGTATTAGTAACAGTTGATTAGTAAGAGTGCCGTTAACACACAACATGTTTACAGTTATATAATTAGTTTATACACGTGTATTAAGTGCACGTCAATGTTACCATTGTAGACACATTCGTTAGTCTTCCCTCGTAATACCAAATACCTGCCGATTGTGTTATGCAACAAAATATATTAAAACCGTCAGTCCAGGTATTCTAGAAAGATAATATCTAGATGTCACTATTCTTTTCATTTTTGATGTCGGTTGATTAAAATAGATATTCAAACTACGATATTTCTTTTCACAGAATAACCTGGATGATGTTCGTTTGGGTTAAGAATCACCAAGAGCTGTTTTGGACTACTTACTACACCTCGTTCGGGCTGAAAGTTATAAAAGCCAGAAGCTAGACCAGATCTACACATTCGTTGTCCAATTGTATAAATACATTGATTTAAACACATGGATGTCATGTTAATTTGTAAATGTTAACATATGACGAATTGCAAGGATATGTCAGAAATATATTCCTATATTTAGAATGATCAAGACTGAATCAGACAAGAATGAAGGAAGTCAATATTAAGTGAGTTTAGTTTTACGCCGCTTTTGGCAATATTCCAGCAATATCAGGGCAGGGCCACCAGAAATGGGCTCCACACATTGTACCCATGTGGGGAATCAAACCCTGGTCTTCGGCGTGACGAGCGAACGCTTTAGCCACAAGGCTACCCACCGCTCGTAAGTCAATAATTTTCGCAAATTTCAAATTAAGTCATAGTATGGATAAATATATAATTAATGGCACTACAAACTTCGGTTTGTTTTGTTTATATTGAGGAAATATAAATCGACATATCCTTGATAAAATATATGCATAGATATAAATTCAATACATACCAATGTTATTTGTAATAAACAAATGATAATGTAGGCAAAGCATGGCGACTTAATTGTAATGCGCGCTGTTACTTACAATATGCAGTGTTTGGTGAGAGATGCGCAAGGTTTCATAGACCATTACAAGTCCTCTAAAGGTAAAACAATCCAACAGTCGTTGCTAGGCATGAATTATTTGAATTGTGATTCAGCTTCGAAAAGATAAACAAAAATATTGAAAATTATTGCTCATTTATCAAGTGGAATCGAATGACTCAAATTTACCGGTGCCAAGCACAGTAGATGACATTGGTAATTCTTTTGTTTTAATTTACATTTTTATGTAAATTTGTTGGATTTTTTACGCAACTTGATGTCCTTTATGCAACTGACTGATGATTGTAAGGAAAATGTGTTGTATTAAGACAAAAATAATTAAAAAAATAAAAATACGATATCAATAGAACGTATTGAGTAAATAAAAGTATAGTTATATTCGGCGGTTTGACAACAAGCAGTGACAGATGTGAGCTCATTATACACGTAACAACACGGATCCTCGCACAAATAACATGGCATTAATTGTTTTAGACAAATAATTTAATAAATGTGTTTTATTCTCAGTCAGTGTGTAACAGCGGTGCTCATGACTTCCGGTCATGTTGAGTTAACATGCTAAAACTCAACTGAGATCTGTATCTGTTACATACCGTATGCTTTAAATGACCACTGATTTGACAATAATTGATAAAATTCAAACAAAATATTACTGTTTGATGAGAAAAATATGTCGTTTCTCGTTTTTACATTTGTTTTTGAAACATCAAATATAACGTTTTTTAACAAATGAATTGAATCCGTGTTATTTTCTGTAATGATGCCGTTTAATATGTTAATGACTGCTTATTACAATTCCGTTATTATATGTTTACGTATCCAATATATCCATACATCCACACTCCGGCGCAGTGAAGACTTAGCATAACATCACTGCCACAGGCTAATTTGCATATCACGTGACCGGACTTTTCTCTTGTTTGTAAACAAACGCGCACATTCATAATAAGAAGAGACTGGCCTTAAGCAAGCTTTCTGCGCGCTCTTCACAATGTTTTACATTGTTACATTTATATTCTTCCACAACTACGACAGTAAGGTTTATGACAGTACATATTTAGATATCAAACTGGCTGCATCGTTTGCTCTCCGGCCGTCGGCTTCGATGACAGCACGTGGAGCCGTACAACCTATGTAAACAAAGGATCGCTACGCAAATCGAGATAGAGTTAGATGTTTTAGGATTTTTTCTCTGTAAAACTAAAACCATTCCATCAAAGATGTTTAATTAGATGTGTAGACTCGACAAAAATAAAAGAGTTAAGAAATATGTACATTATATTGAATGGACTGTGCAAGATGTGACGAATCGTCACATCTTTCTGGCCTGTGGCAGAGGTACTATGCTGGCTGGCCGCATGGAGCTCTGGGTAGGAGAGTGCCATACATCACGATTCGTAACTGTGTCATCCAATACATATTATCAGTGAGGTCATTCCGTACATGTATGCACATTTCTGAAATCCTAAAGTGTTAAAAATATTCCTTAATATTTAATCTACTTCTATAAGGTTACCAAGACACATATGCATTACACGTGTGTGTGGAATGTAAAGCTGAAATAAAACTTTCATTAGAGCAAATGCGCTGTTTACTTCAGTGTTGACGCTTACCCCTCCCGATCCCTTTTCAGAGTCGCTACGTTTTGTGATAACAAAGTTGGGTTTCTTTGATTTCTTCAGTCTCTCCTCAGCCTCTCTCTTCTTCCTCTCCTTCTCTTCCTTGATTCTGGCCTCTTCTTCTGTCTTCTTCCTCTTTCTTACTTCCTGTGGAGCCAAGCAGGGTAATAATGATTAATCGCGTATTTAGTCTAAGACGTGATATTGTTGTCCGTCAGCTTCACTTTTTCATGCTGTTTTTAAGCATTAGATGACAGTTGAAATAAGTTTTTATTTTACCTTGAGGAATAAGGTTTTCTCCTCTAAAGTGGTATTATTCCACTGTCGGGGTATTACTAGCAGTTGATCACAAAATGCGTGTCAAACATACTGACGACACCATACATATGACATCATAACTATACATGTATATTATCATCTCTCTGGGGCGCTCACGTTCAATCGATCATCAATTATGTATACTACTGAAAAAATGTTAAGGACCACCCGGTTTTTTTCAAATCGCTATCGTCTGTCATGCTTGCTTATGTCAGGGAGACTATATAACGGGGTATCCCTGCTTATGTGGAATAATTCAATAGCCGTGATAATTTACTTCAGCTAATATGAAAGAATCTTATGATCCTAATTTTGTTTGGATATATTATAACATATACACGTTTATTTTGAAATGTCACGTGAAATAGACTGGTTTGGAGACGCTTGGACAACCTTTGAAAACATTCAGCAACATAAGTAATAAACTCGTCTCTCGTAACGAGCGAGGGCAGTATCTACTCAACCACCCAGCCCCTCTCAGATACGTCTAAAGACTACATCAGACCCCAAACCAGCCAATCAGTGACCGGAAGTATCTATTGGGTCTTCAATGATAGTTAGTATCTAACCACTGTCCGTACTCTTCCATAAAGTTCCCCCCTCGATTCCCAACGTCGATATCTTAGGAGGTATTCTCTACCGTATCCCCACATTGAAATACCACATATGAAAGTAAGACTCACCTCTTCTGCCTTCCTGCGTGCTTCTTCCTGAGCTCTCAACTCTGCCAGGCGAACCTCCTCAGCCTCGCGTTCAGCCTTGCGTCTCTCCTGCAGCAAAAGTACGTTTGATGAGAGAATGTAAATTTCTGGCAAAGGAGTGTGTGTGAATTGGGTTTTACGCCGCTTTTAGCAATATTCCAGCAGTATCACGACGGGGGACACCAAAAATAGGCTTCACGTGTACCAATGTAGGGAATCGAACCCGAGCCTTCTGCGTGACGAGCGGACACTTTAGCCACTAGGCTACCCAACCGCACTTCTGGCAAAGGATACAGAAGTAGACTCTGTGTTGATATAACATGTGTACATTTTGTTTCTATAGGACACCGCTGGCTGACACTAACCCTTCTCTCTCGCAGCTCTTGGATTTCCTGAGCCTCCTTCTCACGAGCTTCACGCCTCATTTCCTCATACTCCTCCATCTCCTGCTGCTGCTTCTCTATGCGCAGCTTCTTGGCATCCTGGAACAGACACATGGGAGTCTCAGGTTGACACACAATAACTTACTGCTTTCCACAATTAAGGAGAGATACAGGCTGCACAGCTTAACAAACTGCACGTGGTAAAGGAGCTGTTACGACAATACGTCATGTCTTTGTGTTGTTGATTTTAACGAAACATTTATTAAAAATTTCATTTTGGAAACAGAAATATAACATAAAGGCTCTCCAAGCATTACTACACCATAATTGTTTTCAGGACGATAAAACATACGGCCAGGAAAAGACATTTAGTGGGTATAGCATTATAAGGCCATGTTGATAAATATTTTACACTGTTTATATTACTGATAGTTCCTTTCATATACCCACCGATACGGCCGAGAACAAATGATACCTTTAAGTCGACAAATTAACTGTTTCGAATGGTAAGTCCTGTGAATCGAATACAATATCACATTTTGCACGGATAGCACGTGCAGCACACAGTCAGATCAAATGTGAGGCATGCAGTATATTTTTCAACGTGATCAAATTACCACCTCGCAGTGGACAAGGTTATTTGGAGGTCTACAACGATCTCATAGATATATTTCATATTAAACAAATAAGAATGACTCACCTCCATGGCCTTTCTTGCCTCGTTGTCATCCCCATGTTGTCTGTAGAGCAGAAAAGATTTCCATGTAAAGTCAGCAGATATTACAAGCTCGACGACGTACAGTAACCTCTCAACACGGAGTAGAGTCTACCCAGGCCTAACAATAACGACCAATGATGACCGAAGATGACCCACAAGTACATCATTTTGTAAAAAAATATATCTTCCTCGGTCTTTTGTTTTATTAGCGTGTTGTTTAACGCCACACTCGGCTATATGGCAGCGGTCTGTAAATAATCGAGTCTGAACCAGACAATACAGTGATCAACGTTTCTAGATTTGTCAACAACATGTGGGTTTTACCAAAGTGGTAACATCCAATGCCTGTACCATGTTCCTTTCACATTCACCTGACACGCCATTTCATAACCGGAGACCGCCTCCGTGGTGTAGTGGTTAGAGCGTCCGCCCGGAGAGCGGAAGGTCGCGGGTTCGAGCCCCGACCGCGTCATACCAAAAGACGTTAAAATATGGTACTTGTTGGTCCCTGCCTGGCGCTCGGCATTAATGGGTACAACAAGGACTGGTTGGCTCGGAGTCAGTATACTGTGTCTGAGTGGGGTATTCATGCTTCACTGCGGCATGGTATCTCAGTGAGCTAGCACTATAAAACCAGCTTAAGTCTGGGCTAGTACAAGCAGCCGCACATACACATACACACGCATGCACGTCGTCATATGAGCGAAATATTCTCAAGCACGGCGTTAAACCAAATTTCACCTCACCTCGGAACCGGAATACTGTTCAAAGAGGCATTAAAGCCAACTCACTCTCGGGGGGCTGGAAGAACGTAATGTATAAGATTGAATGAAATATGAGTCCTTCGCGGAGTTTCCTAAATCAGATTTTAAGCAACGTTTGGCCATCGACAATGCAAATGACAACGTATATTACGGTTTACGGAATCCATTGACCAAAGGATTGTAGAAGAATCCTTAGATCGCGAACTTAAGGATGTACAATAACTGTAGCCCTAAGATCGTTCCGTGCAAGTGGGCCCTGATAAGCTCTATCCCTGCATTGAGAGGTTTCAATACCGTTATGTTATCACAAGTGAGCATGCATGCCCTCAAGCACCGTATTATTACTGTGATTATTATTGTGAATATTAAACAATTAAACAAAAGCAATAATAGTGTTAATTGGTTATGTTTGTGTTATTAGCATAATTACTGAGAAGAATGCTAGGTTATGTTAAATATGTTGTATAAGTAATCAGAATAGAAGATGTCAACGTGTGTCCGGTATCAAGTAATGCATCCCTTGCATGTCAGATTGTGTTACTGTGACGATGATCTGTGTAATGTTGTAGAATAATTCTAGCTACATTTCAATACTATTGAGGAGATACAAATGTGAATTAAACGATTGAAATAAACTGTGTTTACCTATGAACAAGATAACAAAATGGCCTCGCCACAGGTGTGCTATACCTGATGCGGAGTTAAGCAATATTCACTCAGTGATACAATGTCGAAATAAGTCCAAGAAGGTGATAGGATTTGAAACATAATTCAGTCTAAATATTCTAATTTAATGGAAAATAACGCCAAACATAAAAATCTTGATTGAAAGAAGAAAAAAATCTGGATACGTATAATTAACTTGTGAAAGCATTGATAATATGTGGGGCTACTTCGTGTCACCGTACACTATTGTATTGCGTCCCGTTCAATAAATCTATTGTAGCGCTAACTCCTATACTTTACCACCACACATTTACGACAATGGTTGTACTAAGATCATTTGATGGAACGGCCCTGTTTGACAAACTAAGTAGGTAATTGTTTTGTTGTTGTTGTTGTTGTTGCTGTTGTTTCTGTTGTTGACATGGACTTACCTTGCAGGACGCACAACTTCCTCGACTCTGAGGGGGTTAAAAGCAGGAGAGGGTTAGATCATTGGTTATGTGAACAAATCACAACATGAGAGATTAGTGGATTATCCCCGGTTACTCATTGGTATAAAGATTAAACCAAATCAGAGGTCGGGCTTGCACGATGACAACAATATAATACTGTTTAATCAGTTATTGTGACAAACTGTCCTGAAGAAAAATGTACACCACTTGAAAAATGATTTTGGCTAGAAACCGTCGAAACACTGTCAAACTTTTACTAAGCACAAAACAGTTGTCGAAAACTGCAAACTTTTGAGGCCAAAGGCAATGTCGATCGTAGCATTTTGACTACATTATGAGTATGTGTTTGCTTGACGCCACAGTACTACAGCCGTACAACGCGGTCTGCAAACAATCACTTCTGGACCAGACAATCAAGTGATTTCAGTGATTACGTCCCAAACCATATTGGTGCATCACCATCAAGTAATTGTTGTCCATTTGTTGCATTTATGGCAACCATCAAATATGATGTCGTATTTTTTGCCCGACAGTTTCTGTATGAGACAACATATTGTTTTATTAAATTACAACCTGTGAAAATATTTGGAATGGTTGAGACGCATCGTGTAAACCCGCCCGTCTTCATAAATGACGTTACATTTTCAATAAAATACATGTCTACCTTATGAATATTACTTAATAATTAATAAGAATTGTTAATGATAGTAAAACAAATGGTTGTGAGTGGTTTATAATTAGTAAAACAGTAAATACCAGAAAGAGTACTAACATTCGTATTATTTTTACGAAAGGTAACGTTATACTATTACAGAAACAGATTTATATTACAAAGACATAAGCACCGAACATACGTGCCATCTGAAAATATCACTCAACAAACTTCAGTCGTGATTCACACGTGCGGACAAACGCCCGCAAATGCGCACGAACACACGCACTTACTGACTGACTTGTTCATCTGGTGCAGAAGTAGCCTCTTGTCTGAGCACAACCGAGCAAATTCAAAGCAAAGAGTGAGCATAGAAAGCGAGTAATAAGCATTAACGAGGGACAAAGCAGTGGCACATTCTCGAAGTTATTAACAGGTTAGGAACACTGACTGTGTCACAAGACACAGCACCCAAAAATTGTTCTTTTGACCAAGTTGAATCTGATTACTTGTCTGGCACCGAGACGCACCACTGCTTTGACCAAAGAACAAAGTTGCCAACGAGAACATGAACTGACAAATACATGCTTTACTGAACATTTACAAGATTCTCCGAACAACTTGCAGATAAATTTATTAAATTAAATACATATTAAAAGCCGTTTATTACCACACATATTTGCGATTAAACGTGCCATATTTAAACCGACATGAATGCAGTTACGAATAAGAAAATAAGATTGTTTTTATTGACATCATGGCACATGCTTTCACTGACGACACGGATGAAGCTACACACGAACAACTGATGTGCAGACCCTGGACAAAATAGTTTGATCATCATCATCATCATCATCATCATCGAATTTCGTTATATTATTTAAGAAATGAACATATTTCAACGTTTAACTGTTTGAATTTATTTTCATGAAAAAACAATATTCATCATTATGAAAATGAATTTAATTATAAATGACCGTTGACCACAACTGGACTTCTGTTGAGGGGTCAAACGTAGTTTGAGATCTGATACAATACAAAATTCTCGCGTTGAATTCTCATTGAAACTCGACAATGATGATCAGTAACTCTTAATAAAGAGTCTGCACATTTGATGGATTCCAAAATGAAGGGACTTTACTGGTTAATAATGGTTCTTATGTTTTCAACAAACCGCAACATGAGAGTAAATGGGGGACTGGTTAAAGGTGTGAAAAGTTATTAAAGGGTAAGGTTAAACTATTACTTTCATGAAGGACATTGGTTAAACAATGTTAAGGAATATATATAAAACACAGCCTGTTAAAGGGTGTATACGATATGGCGTTTATTCCCGAACAGGTCCAATGTGTGATATGCAGCTACTCTACAAGCGTGTGGCATCAATGCAGCGTGAGAATGTGGAATGCCACTGTGCAAGGGCAACCCTGAACAGACCAGCTGACTTACTGAGGTGGAGCGGGCGACTCCCTGTGTGGAAAATAAGTATTTAGTAGCAGGAACATTTACAACATAGAAACAGAACAGAACATTTATTGTTTCCTTGTGAATAGTGTTTTTGCTATGTGCAATCGACGTTTTTCTTAAATTTTATCCAATATGCCCATACACCCACGAGAGAGAGAGCAAGAGAGAGAGACACAGACACAGAGAGTAAGGGCCTGTTCGATTATTGCGAAACTGGTTTTGGTTTCTGAAACTGGTTTCTCCTGTCATAAACGAGTGTCTAGTTTCGGATACATCGTTTCAAAGTGAAACTAAATTCTAATTTAATAAACGAGTGGATGGTTTCACCCTCCGGTTTCAAAATGGATACCCCAAAAATGTCCCAGCTACTATATATGTGGAACGAATTGGATTGCAGCATATTGTTTTGTTATTTTATCAGTGAATTAACAAATAATAAAGAGATAAGATACTTTTGGAGGCAAATATTTGCGTATATGTAATGATACTGTTACAAGTAATTATATGTATACAATTTACATAAAATAGTCATGTTCAGTAGACTGGGGTTTTGAATAATATTTTCCTAGTTCTCAGTTGTGTTTTATCATTGTTTTGGTCACAGAAACTGCTGCTCTATATTGCCACCAAGGTCAGCTGACCTTGGCGCATGAAAATGCAGCTTAGCGTGGTGGTTTCCGCCATGTTTGTTATGAGAGAACGCGAAACCGAAACTGCGAAACCTGCCTCGGAGATGGTTTCGAAGTTTCAGAACCCAGTTTTTGGTTTCGACATAATCGAGTGCATGGTTTTCCAGAAACCCAAACCGGTTTAGCATAATCGAATAGGCCCTAACATAGAAGGGAAGAGAGCTTGAGAGAGGGGAGAGAGCTTGAGAGAGGGAGACAGCTAGAGAGAGAAATAGAGAGAGGGGACGAGAGAGAGAGAGAGAGAGACTTCCGCTGATGCGGGACGAGTTTCCGGGTTAGGTGTTAGGGGACAATACAGTGTCCAATATTTCGTCCTTGACCTTGGTCATGCAGGTTTGAGGTGTCCAGTAATAGACAAAGTAGTATATGGTGACTATGTTATAGTACATGTGCTACGTGTTGACCTCTAGTCATGCTGATATTGAGTGTCCAGTAATGGAGAATGTACTACATTGTCACTGTGTTAGTGTATGGGTACTTACTCCTCTTGTCCGGCTTCACTGAAAAGTCAAACATTTTACAATATATATCACAAAATACTCAATCTTTTTGTTATTTACAGTCAAATGCTGTTGTGTCGAACATAGGGTTGTCTGGAAGTAAGAGCTTGTTGCCTGCGTATTCCTTTATGGTCATTGTATTTCGGTTGTACCGAACCTTGGATAACTCGAACAATTTACTTACGGCCCTTCGTCTTCGCCACAATGGTTCTTGACTGAATACGATTATGATAAACTCTTGGTTTATATCTTCTGAATTGAAAACATGTTTTATTTTTCAAGAATCATAGATGGTAAACTTTTTTATCTTTTGTGTCATATACTTGTTTTAAAATCATTGGTTAAATATCGTGTTCTGGCATTGTATACCCATCAGCTAATATCAATAAAAATACGTTATTGTCTGCTGCAGGCGGCAATGTTAAAGCTATATCACAGCAATAATTCATAACGGAGATTGATCCGGCAGACCAATAGTTGATAGCATGAATAACCGTCCACCTATTCGGGTCACGGTGACCCACAGTCATCGATGCCATCACCCATCACCCAATCCTTTAAAGAGGCAAGCCTATTGTCTAAGAACGCCAGTCTGTAATTCATATTTTTCTAGAAATTACCGTTCAAACAATATTACTATATCACAGCATTAATTCATGATGGAGAATGATCCGGCAAACAATGGCTGATAGCATGAACAACCGTCTACTTAATCAGACCATGGTGACACAGTCATCGACGCCATCACCCAAATACTAATGGTTAGCAGGGGTAAATACTTTCAGTTATACGTACAATGATTCTTCGTCCGCCATTATGAAGGAGGAAACTCTGTCAGGTACTTAGCAGATCTGAAAAAGAAGATAGAGATCTCAATACATGCATCAGATACCCAGGGCCGGTCGGGTAGTCTAGTGGTTAAAGCGTTCGCTCGTCACGCCGAAGACACGGGTTCGATTCCCCACATCGGTGGAATGTGTGAAGCCCATTTCTGGTGTCCCCTGCTGTGGTAATACTGCAATATTGTAAAAGCGTCGTAAAACTATACTCACTCAGAGATACCCGTTACTCATACCACTGTCGGACGCAGCGGGGTAGGCTAATGGTTATGGCTTAGCGATACCAGGGTCGATTTCCCACATAGATTCTATTCTTAATGGACACCTCTAGTGTGCCCACGCCTTGTTCTACGCGGCGTAAAACGATATTCATTCACATTCTTCCAGATATTAAGAAATCGGATGGAGGGAATATTCGAAAATACCAGACTGCAGTTCTCATTTCCCAGAGTGCATTCGTAATCGCATTGCTGTTCAGGATAGTAATTGGATTTTATGGTAACTGTGGTATCAGCTCGAGTTCGGATAAAACGGCCCGTGAAGGTCCGGGTTAGAATTGATCTTCAGTAACCCATGCTTGTCGTAAGAGGCGACAAACGTGATCGGATGGTCAGACTCACTGACTTGGTTGACACATGTCATCGGTTCCCAATTGCGCAGATCTATGTTCATGCAGTTGATCACTGGATTGTCTTTTCCAGACTCGATTATTTACAAACCGCCACCATGTAGCTGGAATATTGCTAAGTGCGGCATAAAAGTAAACTCACTCACTCGGACAAAACGAACTAAGTTTAAACTAGCGGTTCGCCATGTCCGTATCTGCACTGCCTTGCGCAACAGCTATTCCTACCTTTCACAACGGCACTGCCAAGAGAAAACCTCTTGAAAAGATTTTAAGATTGGAGGGGATCAGTTTGAATATTGTACTATGGTAACCTTTCAATAAAAACCCGAGTTGAAACTCTATATTACACCACTGACCCAAACGTCTGATGTAAATAGGTCATTTATAGTTAACTAAAGTTAGATTGTTAAAAAATATTTCAAGAATTGTTCGGTTTAGTCTAATTTGATTTTAACGTTATAGCCAATAAGGGCATTTTAGGTAACTGATATTCCCATCATCACATTGTATCAATACAAGACTCCATATTAGATATACAAGTCACTCTACTGTTGTACAACCTTGCACTGTGATGCAATTATGTCACACAGCAAGGCGTTTAGATATAACAATTTGTGGTAGTTATGTTTTATGACTTGTTTTATGACGCAACAACGCTGACAATTGTGAGCAAATGGAGCAAAATTCGAAATGCAAATATAATCAGAATCTATCTTTCCAATATCCCCTTTATCAGTGCTATCAGAGTATAGGGTATCAATTACATCTAGACAAACAACTAGTCACGAGTTGAACAGTGTTAACTCATTATTCAAATTTAACGGAGCAATGTAGACTAATGCTTAATATATATAATTTTGATAGTAACAAACAAGCCCATTTAAATTGAAAAGGAGCCCCAAGGAGACCAGAGATCCCGAACCTGAGGAAATCTAGACTTGCTTCATTTAGGGCTTTAGCACTGCAGATAGGGCTTGGCAGTAGGGAAAATAATGTGGTTCAGGGACTGTGAGACAGACTAGGAGTCATGAAACTTTCATCATTGTAAAATTAACTTCAGTCTCTTAAAGGAACAATTCTGAAATCATTCTAATAAAATATAATGAAATGAGTCTAGAGACCTTTCAGAAACTGAAAACTGCAGTATGATGCAGAATGTAAGACATAGATGCCGTGTAACCAATCTCGTCCTAACCTTAAAAACGGTCTTGTCAGCAGAACACGTTAGAAGGTTGATATGCATACCAGTCTTACAGATACCGATGCCACAATGGTCTGTCGTATCTAATGATTCCTCTTATTCTACAATCCTTGTTCCCAGGGCATTATACAGGAACTGGACAGAGTATGTAGGAATTGGACAGAGAAATGCTCTTCCGCCATCTGGTAGCAGTACACCGTCTATCCTGGAATTCCATGCCAAGACCAAAATAGGAAGAGCGCTGATGCAGGGTGTGTGGGTGTTATGTGGAGATATCATTGAAGGATCTTTCCGTTATCTCAGCTTGTGCGTTCTTTAGATTAATATACACGGCACTGAAGTTCAGGTAATGGAAACATATTTTTAATACCGTTTGCTTGTTGGCAAACTTGACACAAAATGCCAAAAACGCGCATGAATGTTTTTTTTTCGCGGGAGCTGTATTTAATCTCTCTTACTTTGCATCTTTTGTCAACAACACCAACAAGAGGGGTAGAACATTAATTGTAAATGCGAATTGTGGGTAAAAAGTAAAGAAAATGAAAATGCTTTAAAATTTGTAGTAATTAACGTTTTCCAAACATGAAAGAGATTCAAAAACAGTCAACAGCTAGTCAATATGCACAGGGTATGATGAAAACTATATGACGGGAAACTGTGCCTGAAACACACAAAAACACCTCGAGATGAAGTGAAGTTATTTTGAGCAAACCAATTACCTTTGAAATTCCAAACGTTAACGCTCGAACGGCCTATCCACACGTCCGACTAAAACTCCAAAGAATGAAATGCGTTAATCCTGGGTAAAATGGAAGGAGGCCGGACACAAGGGATGTAGCCTGTACACAAACTGATGCCTCTAAAATGTCGGCTCCATATATCCAAGCCAACAGAAACCCCTGACGTCTGCCACTGGTGTCGAGTTTCCTCGCCCCTAGCAGACGATAGCGGCTAAATATGCAGCAGACGACCGCGGCACGTGGTGAGTGCACTACATAAGGTCTTTCTCCACGGAAAGGGGATAGCACCAGGTGGGCGCTGTCAGGAGGGGGGTTTCTGTTGCGAGGGCAGGGATTAATTAATGGCGTAATCACGGAATCGATATGTCTGTGGCTTTGAAATTCCAACATGGAAGTTTTTCTTTTGATGAGTATTCTTTCGCAGAACAGTAACTGTTTCTGACTTGAAACACTAACGGCAAAGTTGATATACCTGTTGCTGTTTTTGTTGATGAAAATAACACGTGTCATATGGTGACATTTACAAAAACGTACTTTCCCAACTAGACCTATCCCAAACTATTGCAAGATTGTGAGATTGTAATTCTGAACTAAGAAAATAATTTGTCAAAGTAATTTTTATGTGTGTCAAATCAACCTTGACTTCGTGCCTGCATGAGCCTATTGTAATGCAGGATTATGACTAATTATAATAGGATTATTCAGTGTTTTTACATGGATACTTTGCAATCGGTCATTAACCAACTGTACACTCATTCATAAATTGTCATCGGTAGACTTAAGCAACCTTGAGCACCTGTCTGCTATCCGTACTGAAATTTCCACTTTGGTAAAAACAAGGGTGTCGTATCCTAGACAACAATGGTATGCGTTTCCTATTCCTATGTGGTTGCCATGGTGATGCAGAACTAGAGATGATTCTTCACGTGTGATGGCGCCATAACCATATTGCATGGCGAGCCCTTGCCAAAAGGTGTACCCGTGCAGGCTTGAGTATCTGCCAACATCTTGAACTATACAACTCGACTCGATGTTTTTTCGTATTTGCAATGATTAAGTGGTTGCATTGCACTTTGCTTTACCTTGTCTTATAAACTGCAATGTGTTCTGCACATGTTACAGATCCAAACCACAGTAAAGCGAAACTAGAACAAATGTTGTTATAAAAGTAATATTTGTGGAACCCGAGTTGGCTGAGTAGGTTAGATCGCTGACTTCCTGTGCTGGCGAGTAGGTAACTGACCCTAAGAGTGTGGGTTCGAATCCTGGATGGAACTTAAGCCAACTAAAGTACAAAGTTTGTACTTAATTGAGAAGTGTAACCCCAGATATAACATATGTTTCAAGATTTAACCCATGTTGTTATTTATGTACAGGGAGGCTAGAACTAAAGTTGTTGTTTATGAAGTAATGTGGATGAAAGATTAAACTAATGTCGTTAATCATGTTGAGGAGAAGAAAGAGCTAATGTTGTTCATTGTGATAAAGGAAGATGAAACTATTTTTCTTAATCATGTCGGGGAAGACAGAAGTTATGTTGCTAATTATGCTGAAGAAAGTATTGCTCTTATAATCATGATGAGGGAAGATTGTATAGTGGGAATTAAGACTAATGTTGTTTATTGTTTAGAGGAAAGCTATTCTTCTTAATGATGAAAAGAGGTACTAGAACAAGTGTTGTTGATTGTGTTGGAGGAAGATTTAACTAATATTACTAATTGTGTAGAGTGGGGAACTAAAGTTGTTCTGTTTAACTGAGAGATTAGAACTAGACTAACATCTAGTCTCTGAAATGAACATATTTTACAGAATAAAAATAGTTCCTAATTTTTTCATAAATATAATAAAAAGAGCCCGGAGACTTTCATTTCTTAGAAACTGTGGTCATCTAGACTTGCATTGGTTATATTTGTTTCAGGGTCTGTATGACAGACCAGGTTAGACCTAAAGTTTTTGTAGCGAGATATTGGCCTATATCCAAGCATGTACATTACCTTATTTTTATAAAGTTGGAAACAGTTGTGTACTGACTGAGAATGTAATACATTATACATTATATCATAACACATTGACGTTAGTGTTGTATCAGAGAAATCTAAGCGCCAGTGTAATCATATGTGAGACGAGCGTTACGTGAAATATAAACATTACACACTAGTTCACATGGATTAGTCTCTAATCGATCCTATCCCGATTTATAATGTAGGGATGCAGCTAATGGTTAACGTTTCCACGACCCTCTTATTTGAATGGATAAAAATAATGAAGCTCGCATTAAGTTATATTTTATCATCAAAGATCAATGCCCGACTACACAAGCTCTTAACCCAATGTGTATAAGTCTTCACAAACGCTGGTGTAGAAACAAACAAAACAGTCACGATTCCTAGAGGCAATGAATTCCAGTCACATGGCGTAGTCGCATGATAATATTAATGTAATATAATCAGATGTAGTCACATGACAAATTTAATGTAATTAATCTTATGTAATTACGCAATAAAATACGTATCGCAGCTACCCAAATCCTAAGTTCAAGGTCACTGCGACCTTCCGTCCCAGTTTGTGGTGGCTCTTACGCCAACCAGTAGCTGTTCAGATGCGACAGCCTTGTGATATCTGATACAATTAGATAACCCAGGTTATAACAGAGTCCGCACCCCCGGGAACTCCTGTTTGGGAGCTTGGTGTGGGGTCGGGACGCTGGTGCCGGTTGGGAAAACGAATTGTTATATATTCCAGCAGAGACCATATAATATGGTCTCCGATTCCAGTGATTGCACAATGCACAAGGTCCATGCAACTGCCTGAGCCCACTAACACAGTCGTCACGGGCGGTGGGAGTGTGCGTGTTGGGCCGACCAGGAGGGGCCGACCAGGAGGGGGCCGGTGTATGGATGAGGGTTCGTCATGTTGCATCCTCTTATGACAAATGCACATGTGGCTCATTAGGTAGCACCTACTTAGGCTGAAGGGGTCGTTGTCGGCACAGGTACTACAGATACGTATCCCAGGTACCTTTCTGTATACAGATATGTACCCTTAACAAAGTCAAAATACAGAAACGTACCCGGTACCCTTAACGGCGGACGAGTCCATATTCCGCAATCCAAAACCGAAACCGTATGTAGTTGTTCCCGTTCAACTGATTCCGAGTGGTATTCATGTGCATCGCGAAATATCCGTTACTGTGTATTCTCATTACTTACATAACGCAATCAAATGTATCTAATACAACAGTATGACAGTTCCGGTCAAGAATACGGCACAATGGGAATGGAATCGTCCTAGGGTACGTTTCTGTATTCTTATTATGGCCTGGGTACGTTTCTGTATACAGAAACGTACCTGGGGTACATATCTATTATACCCGTGCCGACAACGACCCCTTCAGTCCTACTTAGTCGGGATGGTGAACTCCATAGGCACTCTAGGTTAACTGGGAGTCGCAACACTCGGTTCAAAATCCCTCAACATTTCGTCTTTCTGTTAGCTCAAACTTCATGATGTATATCTTTGTAACGGTAAATGGATACCGTAATCAGACAGACATAGTGTCTTGGTGTCCCACATGGCTTTAATTACATTCAGTTACAATGTCTAGACCTTGGCGAAGATATACATCGTGGTGCGTAGTCCACTTACATAGGGTTCATTATTATATACTAAAATCACTTCCTCTATCCCCTAACCACCCCTGTATTCCTCTATAATATGATAGCCAAAGTCTCAGTAGTCACGATACTATTTGTGACGATAAAAATATTTCTGCCCATTGATATATATATGTAAAAGTGAATGAGTGAGTGAGTTTAGTTTTACGCCGTACCCAGCAATTAATGCCAAAAAGGGCTTAAACGATCCGCATATGCATATGTCGAGAAATCAGAGCTTGTTCGACTTTTCAGCTTCATGGCATGAACGAGAGAGACGCAATACTATGGTACCCTGACAGTCACGGCAACGATTATGGTGTTCCAATATTTGTGTGTGAACCATATTAATCAGTAGCGGCGCTAAACAGATTACACAGTGGGCCAATTCCGTCCCTCGAAGGGTGAAGAATGCTCTGCGATTGAAATATCAAATGGTCGACCATTACCTGAAGGAATTTACAAACAAACTGCACTCACATGCAACTTAGTCAAATTGGGAAATGTTAATATACACAGGATAGATGTATTATCTAACAGACTACATCAACCAATCAACGATTATTCCAATATCTTGCAGTCCCCAAATATAACACATTATCTCAATTGGATTGAGATAGAAATCCAAGATGGCGGCCATCCTGACGAAACAGGTAAGTCATCAAGGTCGAATGATTCTGTTGTGGTGAAATTAGTTTCTACGTATGACGTAAACTTGATATTAAAAAGACACCCCCTCAGTAATATTTGATGCCAGAATTAGTAATTAACACAGCCAGCTGAATATGACGTACATGCATATACCTATATACACATCCCTATACGTATACACATCTGCAGTTGCGTCATGGCCACTGTGTTTAAAGCAGATGTCACTGCAATGCATATATCTGAAACAGTCCTGGAACAGTCTTCTTGTTCTTGAAAGCAGGTTTAACAAACCGCCATGACTCATGAGTAACATATAGATTATAAACAAATTTACAAGATGATAAAAAATTCAACATACGAGAACATTATAACCCTTCAAAACATTCTTACAAAGCGCACATAATAACACTTCTATGGCCAGGTGACAATTTCAATATTATCATGTTAACTCATGTAGACAGTGCTTAAAAACGTCACAGCTTTGGAGATATTGGCTGCAACAGGTGAAAATATTACACGCACATATCATTCCTATAAAGTACAGAAAATTGAAAATAATATTTTTGCATTACGTTCGCGAAGACCTGAGTTTGTAAAAGGAACCCAGTGGTTAGTTTTCAAGAAAACGTGACAAACACTCACTTTCGGGAGAGAGAAAATCACCTACCTAAAGGTATCGAAACAAAATGGCGGCCTGAATACTGCTCCTGGAATGTTTCTAAGAGGCCCACTAGATGTGAGGGGAAATACAGAGATAGATGCCAACAGGCAAACGGTGGAGAAATATATTTATATACCTAGCTCATATAGGGAGGT